TAGATCTTGATGTCCCATTTCCGTGTGCCGGCACCGATGCCTTTGCCGGGCTTCTTGAGTTCGCGGTGGCAGTCTATGCACATGCTGTGGTCGCCGTTGTGGGAGGTGTTGCTTCCTTCCGTCAGTGTGCCTCCACTCATGCGACTGCCCCGTCCGGTGTTCTCGTCGCCGACGCTCGCGACATCGTCCTCGTCTTCCCGCTCGTCCTCGTCCTCGGGTGGGACAAAGTGGCCGCACGGGAGCAGGCGGGGTGTCCTGAGTTCCAGGCTCTCCAGTATGCGTTCCTCGAGCAGGTCGTACTCGTCCCTGGGGTGCGGGATGAGAAGGCCGCGTCGCATCAGGATGATGTCCTGCAGCTTCTCCTCCAGCAGCTTGTAGTTCTCCACCAGCCAATCAGGCATGATCCTGGCCATGATGTCGTGCGAGTACGGTACCTGCATGGGCAGAATGGTAACATGCAACAGGACCAGCGGCGCCTGCTGCGGTGTCGGGGTCGGTCTCGGACTATGAGGCTCCCGTATGCTCCTTCTCCGTGAGCCGGTAGACTGTCTCGACATGTCGTGCTCTGATCTGCTGCTCCTGCTAGGTGTAGCCAGCTTGAAGGACCCTTTGAGCCGCTCTTGGGAGGTCTGGTGTGCGAGTGTGGGCGGCGGCGACGACATCTGCATGGCGCGGACAGACTCAGTATTCCGGAAGCGCGGACGTTCTTTGCGTGCTCGTGCACCGGCCTCGTTAGCGGGCAGGATGGGTTTCGAAGCTATCGACGACTCGGAGGGGATAGCCGAGACGAAGCTGTAGTGCGAGGACATGCGCTGCTGCGACCCCGGGCGCGAGGTGTAGGAGCTGCGGTAGGGCTGGGGCTCGTCGTCGGGCTCCTGTTGCTGTGCCAGCTCAATGCTATGTACAACGTCGTGGGCCATGGGGAACGAGCGTTCGGAGTGGTACGAGTCACTGCCGTCGAACAAGTCCGAAGGCGACAAGGGTTCGCGATCCTGTGGGTCTTCGTAGATGGCGAATGAGGTAAGGCCCGGCTGGGGAGACGGGTGGTGCATGGTAGTAGCCATATCGACCTTTCTTCCAACAATTCTTCGCAATGTGTAACTCAAAGTTTGTGAGATGGAACAATTGCAAGATAGATAGAATGGGAGGCCAGGGATCCCATCATCTGAAATTCATGGTGAGCCGAGGCGGCACCCGGTGGGGGTTGGCTGCGAGGTGGTTGGGATGGCTAGCGCGTGCGTTGTCGACGTGTCAAGAGCGTGCTGGAGTTTGTTTACACACCGACACTTTAGCGCCTAACCCCAAACGTACACCAACGGCCTCGCGCCCCATACTTTCCAACCCTTCCAGCATGGAGCCTTCGGATTTCAGTGGGTGACGCCCCGGTAGTGTTCCCGCCTGCATGCCTTTTTGAGAACCCTCGCCTTTGATAGGATCTGGATCTTCCTTCATGCGAGTACAGCCTCATTCTGCAGCATGTAACATGACTACTCAAAGATAGCCAGTACCCCACCACGAGACAGACCGTTGCACGCGCGCATGGCGAAAACCAGAAAATCTTTGAGTCGCTGATTCACGTCTTTGTAAAAAGGTCGGTGTAGGAAGACGATCGCAGGTGGCACAAGCTCGTCAAAACAAAGAAGGGCTACCAATCTCACGATATATCGTTGACGCCTTCATCGATTCATCGAAGCTTCTTACCAGCCGCTTCATGTCCACGTATCGCTGTGCTGGCTCTGCGGCGGGGCACAGTCTACCCCTCCTGTTTGAACTAATTCCTCTTCGCTCGTAGTTACCAGAACGACGATAGCCAGCACATGCTGCATCAACTCACTATTCCCAGTCTGGCATACTCTGCCCCTCGCTGGCTTTAAATCTGCGTCTCATAGCTCCCGTATCACGCATATGAGAGCGACTTCATCGACTCAAGCTGGTCAGTGTACAGGCAGCGGACTCGAGAGCTTCAAGCTTTCTAGATACTACATGGACATGAACTCACAGTAGAAATGTTCACTTAACTACAAGCGGCGTCTAGCATCTCATTACTCAACCGAGAACAATGAGCAGCCTTCCTGCGCCATCCATGACGAGACACTACAAGTACAGTCTGGTATTGCCTAGATCTTCAGAAGACAACAGATGGATTCACCAACTCAATCGCACTCCCAACTTCCTTCGCACTCGTAGTCTTCCAGAATGTCTCGGCTCTACCTCCGCCAGTATACTGACCATGACTCATACGCCATACACCCAACATGCACAACATCACAACCCCCCTCCTCATCCTCAAACCCCATACCCATCATGCCACGAACAGCCCTCTTCGCAATCGACATCCAAGTCGAATTAGCGCAAAATACAGCGACCGAAATACCACATGCGGATCGTATCCGCGAAGCCGGGACGAGCATCCTACAACGAGCGCGTCGGGCCATCGATACGGCGTGTGAACAGGGCCGAGAACCAGATATAGAGATCGTATTCGTTCAGCATGAAGAGCTCGCTGAGAAAGGACCGCTGGTGACAGGGAGTAAGGCGTGGGAGTTGGTGTTTAAGCCACGAGACGATAATAAATGGGAACGACTGGTAGAGAAGGATGTCCGTGAGTATTCATATTGTGTTTTTGTTTTCTCTTGACAGATGCGTTTAGGCGATACGTTCGAGTCAAACCCTCAGCTTGCGTCCCAGCTGAAAAGCTCGGGTATAGACACGATCGTAGCCTTTGGCATACAAAGTGAATGCTGCGTCCTTTCGACATGCAGAGGTGCTCTAGCCGCTGGATTCAAAGTCGTTCTGTTGCAAGGTGCACACTCTACTTACGATTATGATGACAAGACAGCTAGGGAGGTTGAATTAGATGTAGAGTTGATGCTCGAGAGCGCGGGTGCTGAAGTGGAAGGCTGGAAGATGTGGAAGCCGGTAGCTTGATACTTGGAGTCATTGTTAGAGGTTAGGTGTGATCGGATTATTATGAGACGAGCGCGGATACAAGAAAACCTTGAGATGCAATCTCTATCGCCTGTCCTCCACCTCACCCACTCAATCATGCTAGGCAAGTCACCAGCTCCATACATGCGAGTGCAAACAAAACATGCCTAGATACGCATACCCGCTCGTTCGTAACACACACCGTGCCAAATCTCGTAGTCTATCACCTCCCTGTCCCCCGCCGGATCACCGCCGCCTTCGTCAACTCTATTAAGGAGCGATCATATGATGGGTGGGTGCTTCTAGGCTAGTGCTAGTCTATATAGTCAGGTACCATCAGATACTTCAGTTCATCACTTCTACACTCAACAAACTCCTCCACCACGTCACTCCTTCGTGCGACGGTCAAGGTCCCTGAAGAACGCAACACCGCGTACGCTGAGTACAGGCGCGCAGATCAAGATCTCTGGGGCCCACGCGATATTGTCGCAGGCGACATGTGAACACTATGGGTCCAAGACTCCTCAGACCACAACCAGAGGACCAGGAAGCGGGCCCGTGATGACACAGAGGTGAATGATATGGTGCGTCCCGCTCCGGGGAGGAGGAAGGGGGTCAGAGAAGCGCTTGCGCATGGTCGTGCTGGACGCCAGTAGGGCTGTACATTAGTCTTGAGTTCTTGGTGGAGGGGAATTGGTCATGAGGCGAGGAGGAAATAGGCAAGAAGGAAAGGAGCGAACTGTGTTTTACTGCGTTTTGACTTTTTCACTGGAAAGACGTTGTTTGTTCTACGGCATCTCAGCACCGGGACCAGAGACCTTGGGGAGCCACCTGTGGGAACCACCCGCAGGAAGTACCCTGAGGAGCCACCCCCACGAGCCACCTTCAAATGAGGTATCCACCAAGGTACTCCTGCGGGTGCTTCCTGCGGGTAGTTCGCTGGGTTGCTTCCCCAAGGTGCTTCCCCAAGGTACCAGTGGCGTTTGCGTGGTGACCATGAAAGTGTTGCTGCCTAACACGCCAGCTGCAAATTTGTAGGTGAGTTCAAGAAAAGAATCGACATTGTGAACAACTGACACCTTCCGTGTGGAGGGCGCCTCCGAATCAATTACCCAGAGGCCGACATCTCACTAGTGAAGTTTCCAGGCAGCAGGCTCAGGCAGGCTAGAAGCCGACAAAGGCTTAGTAAAACTAGATATCTCTTATTTTAAAGAGCCGTAAGGGCGACGTCGCCCTTCAGCTCTCTCACAAGATCAGGTACAAGCAAGTGCGGAGTCGACAACTCCTTAGTAGCACTCTCTTAATTTTGCAACCTCACATCCTGGGAGTGACGTAGTTTCCACGGAAGGAATACAAGCTTCCTTTAATGCGCCCACGTATTTCTCTCATGAGAGTTAGTCGCCCGTTTCCTCGCTCACCTCATCGAGCTCTTCACCATTCAGGGCGAGATTGCGGCAACATGAGGTAGCCTTGACCGTCGTGCTTGAGGGGTAAGGTACCAGAGGGTAATCGCCGTTCTTGTACTTTCTTGACTAAAAAGGACACCCGCGATCTTCTGCAGAGTTAGCTTGCTACAACGAAACCGCTTGTTGTACTTGCCTACAGCGACAAGGTCAGTCAGATTGCGTCCCGATCGTTCGCGGGCGCACTGTATGCTTGCCGCAAGGCCATAATATCTCAAATCTCCCACTCAACGGCATTGTCGCCTCCACGCACTCTCGTGAAGTTCCAACGCCAGTCGTATCCAGTCAAAGTCGTCTCCCGCCGCGTTACCTACTCGCCGTAGTTTGGTCGGTCGGTTGCACTTTACAACGCCCCTCGCGACAAAGGACTCAGGCCGGATCTACCAAATTATTTCCCGAACAAGCTCATGCTATCTGCCGCTATACATTGCTACGAATTGCACCCTCACCTCGGTGACCTACCCCCAAGCCGCTGCCATCCAGTAGTGACGCCTTTGCTGCCTTCTTCTTGCTAGCTGCCCCCTCAACTCGCAACTTGGTGAGCGTGTGGCGGAACGCTTCCTCCGTTAGATTTGCCATCTAGGTTTTCAGATGCTCGCTCACATTATCTTAGTGAAACGCCAACTTAGCCTTGTTCTTTTTCTTCTTCTTTCGGGTTTTCTTGACGTACGCCTCGATAGAATTTGGCGATTCATACGTCCATACAGTGACCTCTCGGTCCTGCCCAATCCTGTCCTTGGCCATTCTTTCCAAGATCTTGCTGGAGAGCTCTTCACCATTCAGGAAAGCTTTAAAGTTTTCACCGATGTTGACGAGTCGTGGCTTCTTCGCTAGAGTTCCTGGTTTGCTTGCCCCTGAGACGTTGTTGATGGGCCTTTTCTTTGTTTCGTCGAGGGTCTTGAAGGCTTCAAGCCATTCCGACTTGATCAGCTCTTTCTTTGCCTTTGCTGCTTTGACACCTTGATATCATTCATCGAAGACAATGTCGCTGACCTTAAAGGTTTTGTCGGTTAGGGCGATGTACGCGATTGTTTCCGCGACCTTTGTTGTCCCGGCGAACGAATGTCTGTCGCAACCGCACCAAATGCGTACGAATTCGTTCGCGACTACCGGACGGCTGCGTCGGAGGACTCTCTCACTCAGGCGGTAGTCTGTGCCCTAGCACCACTGGGTTCTGGTCAGATGCGCCCGTTTGGGGGCCAGGACCTGCACCCTCTCAGTGACGGTGATGCCTACGCTGTCACTTCGCGGGGTAGCCCAAGACCGAAACACTGGATGGTGGCAAGCATTACTCTGACCGGATCATCGGGGTCGTCGAAGCGAGCTCGCACTTCATCCCTCTCCTTTAGGGTCATGTGGCCATGAAATGTGAGGAACTCGATTCCCGCAGCCCGAAGCGCATTACTGACCACGTCCAAAGACTGCAGAAACTCATCTGCTACGATGATCTTGCCCTCCGTGGCCGGCTTATGAATAGGGACGAGTTGCTGCATCAGCGTGTGATGCTTACAGAGTTCCAGTCGTCCTTGGTTCCATCCAAGAGACGCTGTCGCGCCTGCTTGTGACTCATATCGAGGAAGATGTTCTCGTGAGCCAGACCCATGGTCGCCTCTAAGTCAAGGCCGAGCCCCTCAAAGTCTTTAGCACCCCTGTCCCCATACATAAACTCTCCACACTTGGGATGAACGACCTTCATGCGTGCTTTGAGGACCTCTGGCAAGGTCCGCTCCTTCATCATCTTGTCCGAGGCTTTGCCTCCCCCGTTCTTCCTCTTATCCCATGGAGAGATCCTACAATCCATGTGATGTCAATCGAGAGATCTGATGGGCGCTCCTTGCCGGAGTGGCGAGAAGGAAAGCAAAGGAAGTAGACGTAGGTGAGTAGTGGAGCGAGTAAGGCACAAAGTGCGTTTGTTCGCCTGAAATTTGGTTCATGGTCGCTTCGTGTCCCCTTAAGTCGTGGGCTTCTGGGGGCTGGATGCGCTTCTTCTCCGTCAGGGTGTGGCCAATATATGCCTCTGGCACCTCTTTCAGTCACCCATAGCTCTGCGTCTAGAACATGGAAGTCTTCCGCCTCTCTATCACCGTCTTAGTACGCTCTGGCTCATGTCCACGTAGCCTTCGCCCTCATGGTTCACAACAGCGTCGTGCGTTACAAAGTGATCGAATGCGGCAAAGAAGACGGTGACGGTACCGCTACGTACTCGACGTCTACCACCAGTACTTCCCCGCTGTCCCAGAGCTCTTGCGCAAGAAACAGCTTGTCAGCGTCTACCAGCTGCCAGCCCCCGTCGGCAGTCTGGATGGATACGGAAGATGGAGACCGTCCTGACGTCCAGTCCTCAGCGGCCACACCTAGATAGACCACCTTCACACGTACTTTGAGGACCTCTGGCAGGGCCCGGACGCGGAGTGTCTTGGACTACCGCTCTCTGTCCTTCCCCCCCTTCTGCTTACCCCAAATGGGTCTTGTTTCTTTCTGGTGGGCCGCCTCGGCCGTCGGTAGTGTCAACTTCGTGTTTCTCACGCTGTGTCGCGAGAATTCAACGAGGCAACCTCTATTGAAAGTGTCGTCGATTGCGAGGGGGAAGAAGCAGGCCCGTAGGCTCGTGGCGAATATCGCGTTTCTTATGCCCCTGAGGGTCTTCGCCTTGGTCTTCTTCGGCTTCTTGGTGACGAAGTAGTCATTAAATACTTTGATGTCGTTCCAGGGTTGGATCCTTAGCCATTTCATGGGGTTTTTCCTATCCCACAGTGGCGTTGTGTCCTTCTGATGAGCAGACTCTGAGGGGGAGAATGTCACCGGGGTATCGTTTTCAATAGCTCGCGAGAACTCGACCAACTGCTCCCCATCGAAGGTGTCGTCTATCCTCAGAGGGAAGACGCAAGCCCTCAGACTAGTCGAGAGAATCGCGTTGCGTTCTCCCTTCAACGCTCGTGCCTTGGATTTCTTCGGCCTCTTCGACACGAAGTATTCGTTGATTACCTTCCGATCGTTCCATGGCTTAATGTCCAGCCAATTCAACAAGGTCTGGACTTCGTCGTAGTCGTTTTCCAGGGGCGTTCCGGTCAGACCCAAGCGCTTTGGCGTCTTGAGGGCGCACATCGCTTGCGATGTCTGCGAGCGTGACCGACTCGCTTTGCTGACCTCATCGGCGATGACTGCCGCGTATCCCGGGACCATCAGAGGGTAGGTCCCACGAACTGTCAAGGAGTCGATGGAGGCTTGATATCTCGTGAACTCCATGCGGACGTTCTCGTACGTAGCCAGGATGACTTCGCTGTATAACAAGTCCTCGGGTGCGATTGGTCACGCGGGCCTATAGATGAAGTACTTGACCGTCAGGCGGCGATGATGATGGCGAACTTTAGCAGCATTCTGGGGTAACTACCCCGAGTGGGAAGAGGCCCCTTGTATCCCTCGCACTTTTTGCGGTCAACCATGGCCGCGAATTCCTTGAAACTGGTGTACTCTTGCTGTACGTTGCCGTGGGCGTAGTGTCCTCGCACCGTCATAAGCCAACCTTGCTCGTTGTTTCCATTGTTTGTATCCCTCTCGCATGACTACCCACATGGTATAGTGTTCACATATGAGGTCGCGAGGCTAAGCAGAGCCTATCTGAGGGCGACCATGACCCTGGCGCCGAAACCGAGGGGTGACTTCAACCTCTGGCAACATGCCATTCACAACACCGGATACATGATTTCCCAGTACTAATCATGACGCCGAATACGTCCGGGGTCGTGATGTCAACGATGGCTCATCCCACAAGAGTGAGAGTGAAGATGATCACGATAATGAAGACGGAAATCTCGCGAATCCCAAGGATGATTTCGAGGATGAAGAGGGTAGCTCGGATGTCGAGGATGTTCTGAATGATATCTCAGATACGCAAGACACAATCTTGAAGCAGGCTTTCGCCTTGTTCCGCCAAGGACGCGACACACCTGCCACCAACACATCCTTGCCTGAGTGCCTCACGGAAAATTCACAAGCAGTGGGCACGAATACCCAGTAGATACGGCGCCGACATTGTCCCGCAGCGTATGGCTACCCCGTACCACAACAACTCCAAACCCTACAACTCCGTGGGATGACGCACCAGCGGTAGCTCACCAGCCTATGCTTCGCAGTTCACACTAAGATGTTACCTATAGAGGGGCAATGTTATCTTCAACGGGATGCTTGTGCAGCTCCAGCTCGGACGGCGTAATGTGGAAGACATGGCGGAATATAACGTCAGAGACGTGGTGGGCGATAGTGGCAAAGGATAGGTGGATAGATTCCAGAAGCCAGGAGGTGAGATCCTGCTATCATACTTCGCACTGTCCGACCAAACCTCATCGTAAAGACTACATACAGCAACCACACGTCTTATCGTGTCGGCACAAGGGACCGTAAAGGCGACGTAACCCCCACAGAACGACAACACCAGTTATTGGGGCTACTCTTGGGATGAAGAGAGTTCCCCAATGAACACAAGCATGGATATTTGGGCCACCGCGTTGGATGGCACACCAGCGGCGAGACCCAAGGCCATGATGCCGGAGAATTATCCGATTCACGCCACGTCAACGGGTCGAGTTCTTCCTGATGAGAAGAGGCAAACGAAGTTAGACAAGCAGGAAGAAGAGTACGAGACTTTGACAGCGGAAGCACGGAAGGCGCCTAATCCCTGGCTGATTATACTCCTGAACTCCATCCTGTTCTCAGGGATGCACTTAGAGATACTCGCAGACGAAGCTTGGAGGTCGATGTAGATTCCTGGAGGTTGTTTGGAGCAGAGAAGCGCCCGACCGCAAGTACTTGTCGTCTTGCGGCAGACGCATCACCCGAGTTTGATGGGGCTGTTCATATATAAATGTTCTCCACGGGTTGCTGTCATGCATAGGCGTCTGCAAAGCTCTTGGGTTATGATATGATCCTGCATTCGATGCTGAAGTTTGCATGCCATGTATTGGAAATCGATGTCCTTGCAGCTTGTAATCGAGTTCAGAAGGTGTAATACAGCGCTATCAAAGCTGAGTAGAGTCTCCTCGCCCCATTGTTGTCGTCATTCCGGCGCAAGACAAGGTAGGCGTCAGCTTCTCGCACTTTCTGTATCTAAAGAAGAACGGAAGGAGCTCTAGAGCAGGCGGTGACACAGAGTTAGGGGGAGCTGGTGATTTCCTTCCCCCAACGACCGCCGCTCGGTAGGGTGCACGCCTTCCTGGTACTGCTGAAGGTTTCTCACTTGATCGCGGAGACCCTGAAGCGCGGTGGTCGAGTGATCTGTCTGGCGAGATGCGGTATTAAGAGATTCTTCTGCTTCAGCGAGTTGTGCTACAGCTCCCTGACGAATGTGATTCTGGTGCACCCTGAGGCACTTCTTGTACTCCCTGCAAAGTGCAAGACGGTCGGTGCGGTGTTCTACGGTTTCTCCGTCAGGAACCAACATAAGCAGCTTGATGGTGTGGTTCATGTTGTTCAGCTTAGCTTATAGGTCATGCCATACCATCCGTTGCTGGGAAACTCGTCCTAAGGCATTGTCAGTTTTCTGTACCCATGAGGTCGTGATCACGACTACCCAGTGGATACGCGACATGGTCCCGTGCTGTATGCCCACCCCATGTCACAACAACCCCAGAGCCTACGGCTCCGTAGCCTATCATATCAGCAGTAGATGATCTCACGTTCTTCTGGGGGTGAGATCCGCAAGCTGGACGGTGAGATCCTCCTGTGATACTTCACACTGTCAGGCCAAACTTCATCGAGGAGGCTACATGCACTGACGACATGTATCACTGCGTCGGCGCAAAGGACCGCGGAGACGACGTTGTCTCTACACAAGGAGGATATAAACTACACGCGCTATGCTGGACACGATTGTGTTGTATCTTGTCTCTGTTGATAGGGTTAAAGGCGCTCTTGCGTGACGGCGTGTGAGTGGGTATGTAGAGGCGTGAACACGGTTGTGTACGGTGTCGGTGGGAGAAGCTTCACAATGATGAACAAAAGAGAGGACGTTGGTTGCTTGTAGCGAGGCTTGCTATTAGGCTGTGTGCTAATGTATAACCTTCCTATCTAACTGTAGACTCAATCCCATACGACTCATACGCGAGGAGATACTCTACGAAGAGAGAAGTATCGCATCTCCAAGAACCTCTGCAGACTCAATCCCCATCACTCTCACTCGTTTGTTTGATTCGACATGTAGTCTTGGATGATGATATTGACGGCGCCCATGACGTCGTTGTACACCAAGTCGCGGACTTCTTGAATGAGCTTATCGCGGGCTTCGTTCGTGACATCGTTGAACAGGTCGTTACGCACGTCCTCGATAAGTGCATCGCGCGCTGCGGTTGTGTTCAAGGTTTTCTATGAAGAAGACGTTAGCATAGTTCCCCTGCTTCACAACTGCGTGGCTAGGCTCACCTAAGCCGATAGAGTGTCGATAACAGTCTTAGCGAGGGGGGCTGCGTGCCAGATCATGAGGAGGAGGAATGTGCCCTTGACGATGAGAAAGACCAAAGCCCATGCAGTCTGCTTGTTGGCTTGCTGGTTTGCTTGGTCGTCATGGTCGATCTTGGCTTGGGCTTCTTGGCTGCGTTCACCGTTGGCTGGGTTGACCCATCGTGGAGTGGATGTGAAAAGATTGACGATTTGGGCCCAGGTTGGCGTGGCAGGAGGGGTGGGACCTGCCGGTGCTGATGGAGTGACTGGTGAGTTGGGCATTGTGCTCGTTTTGTCTTCGATATAGTGGTTATGAATGTCTGTGAGAAATGTGGATGGCGGTGGTGAAGAGGAAACAAGAGGGAGAAGGGGAGTGGTCTCCTTTTTATCGAACATGATGGCTACGTCAGCACCTGGTGCGTGCTTTGAGATAGGATACAAATGTGCAGGAGTGTGTGAGGTGCAAATCTAGAAGGGGGAGCGCGACGGGTTTTATAGAGCAAGTGCGAGGCCTTGCCGAGGGAGGAACTATGGTAGACACTGCCACACTACCCACCTAATCTGCGCACATTACTATAGCATAACCGCTTATTCGAAAGGACTGGGGTCGACTCTTGGTTCAGCCACACACAGGTAGGGCATATGATACTCTTTCACTTTCTACAGTACGGCAGCCAATGAGTATCGTCTGTGTCCTCGCTGCTCGACGAGCGTGACGTCACTAATCAGAAGGAACGATGTCAGTTTCCCGCTGCCGTATGAGCGTGCCGTCCTTCCATCTGCGTGCCAAAGTCGGCCTCCCGCTGCCGCATAAGTGCGACGTTCTTTCTTTCGTGCACCAACGTCGCCTGCCCGCTGCGTCGTGGTTTCCCACAACACCAACCATCAACCCAATGTCGCTTCCTCCCCATACAAGAGCCCCATAGCCAGGAGAGCTACGTCGTCAACGTCCGCCCGTCTGCCGTAGATAGCAAAGACTTCTGGCACAGTCTCCAGGTTGTCGAGATTAAGGGCTGCGTCTTCGCTGATAAGTTGCCCGAACAAGGTTACCGGGAAGGTCTCGTTGAGCAATGACGTTCTGGACGTACTGAATGTGAAGGGGAACGACGGGGGGATGCTGGTTAGAGGACGTCAACTTCCTCTTTCAAAACTAACAATGCCTCAGCCCTTGAGAACAAGCCCCGCTTACCGCGTGCTCCTTCCATTCTTCTTCAGCCACAGAGAGTGAGAAGGTGACGTCCACCGCCTCTTGTACACGGTATACGTGGTTCTCCCAACGCTGTATCATGCGCTACACCAATCGGAACTTGACTATCGGTTCTCTGAGAGTGACATGCTGCCGGCGAGGCTTTTGGTACGGTTGGTCTTGTTGACGGGGGTGTAGTACTAAGAAGCCTACTCTGCCTCTTCCCTTCTTGATAGACTCTATGAGCAGCCCGCGTAGGCTCCTTGATGCCCTATTAGCTACCGTCACTCTAGTACGAACGTATATGTCGTCCTCAGCCCCCCATGTACCACGTCTGGAACTATTGCATGTAGATGATGTCTCATCCTGCCCTACCTACCAGGTTAACAACAACCACGACCCGCTGTCTTGTCAGTACCTCACCCCTCCAGGAAGACGAGTCCGTCGTAGTATAAACGTGATGTAGCAGTCATGGTCCATGTAATGTTGTGTGATATTACTCTCCCCCATCAACCACTTCTCCACTCAGAATCTCCATTATGCCAAACACCGAAACTGTACAACCATCCAAACATCATCTCATAAATTGCCATTACTCATGCCCACGCCACTCCCCAAAGCTCGCACA